GTATTAATGTGCATAAAGAAGCCAAGGAAAGATGGAAAAATCTCCAAAAGGCATCAAATTACAGATTAGACATTCTTATAATATGTCAACAAAAGTTAGATTTTATTTCCATCATTTACACTTTCAAAGTAACAGAAAACAAAAAAATGGCGTCTGCAAACGTTTGGGCACCCTGCAGAATTTATAGCATGCACTGCCCCCTTTGCCAAGCTGAGATCTGCCAGTGTCATGGATTGTTCCATGTCATGTGATTAGCTGTGGCTAAATCACAGCTAAGCACAAAAAAAAAAAACCCTGAATGAATCGATGTCATTCAGGTAAATGCTTGCTTATAGCAAAGTAATTCTTTGCTATAAGCAAATTGTGTAAAAAAAAAAAAAAAATACTGATCACTTCCCCATAGTAGTACAATGTTACTATGGTAACATTGTACTACTTTGAACATAGTGAAATATGACAAACAAATCTTAAAAAAAAGAAACAGAATGTTATAAAAAAATTTAAAATAAAAAAAAAATATTTTTTTTTTTTCACACTGTCACCTGTCAGTGTCCCTGATCACCGCCATGCCAGTTATATGATGACGCTGTACTGCACTGGTGACAGTATGTAAAAAAAAAAATAGTGAAAATAATTTTTTTTTTTTTCATTTTCCGAAAAATTATGACAAAAAAAATACGACTTCAAAAATCTCGCCATTCCTCTTACGAAGTACGTCGGACTGTCTACTTTGCAAAAAGGGGTCATTTGGGGGATATCTGTACTGTTCTGACATTCTTGGACCTCAAGAAATTAGATTGGTTGTCAGTACTTCAGGATTGATCAATATTCAGATCTATACCATAGTTTGTGAACTCTATAACTTTCCTAAAAAACTAAAAAATACATCCTAATATGGGTCATTTTCACCAAAGACATGTAGTAGAATACATCTCGGCCTAAATTTATGAAGAACAATTATTTATTTGCAAACTTTTATAACAGAAACAAAGAAAAACATGTTTTTTTTTTCAAAATGTTCGGACTTTTTTGTTAACTTAGCAAAAAATAAAAACCCCAGCGATGATTAAATACCGCCAAAAGAAAGCTCTAGTTGTGTGAAGAAAATGATAAAATTTTAGTTTGGGTACAATGTTGTATGACCGCGCAATTGTCATTCAAAGTGTGAGAGCGCTGAAACCTGAAAAATGGTCTAGGCAGGGAGGTGTAAAAATTGCACGGTATTGAATTGGTTAATTCATTTGGAGAATTTAAGTTTGACTAAAAAAAATTAATTATATTTTTTTTTTTTTTTTTGTTAAGGAATGTTTTTCTTTTAGGTATAAAAAGAGATCATGTGCAAAAATTAGAATGAAGACTGCAGTTGATTTATAAAACTGGAGCTAAATAAATAAAGCTGCTTGGTATATCAGACAATAAATGTATGCATCTTAAAGCAGCATCAAACCCAAAAGCAAACATTTATTACTGGTATATTGTAGCTTGCAAATTCTTAGTTCTAGCTGCATTTATTTATTTATAGTCTTTAATCTTGAAGGTTCTTGATACAAAAAAGATGTCACTGTTTGCATTCCTTTTGCTCTCCACACATTGGAAAAATCATCACTTGTATTAATAACTTTTGGATGTCTATGTATGCGAAGATATTTGGAAATAATCAATAGCAATTTTAGAGATCTCCTAATTGAACACTAAGCGATAAGAGTATCCTGCAAGAGCAGATTGTTTTCTTTCTTCTATTTTTTTGTATTTTATTATTTTCTTTGTTTTATCTGGTGACCCTGCTAGTAGGTCTGTTGTTTTTCAAAAAGAACAAGATTTCTTGCAGATTTATCAGTTACAGAGATTAGACAAACCATTTAACACTGGCAGAGGTGCTTGCAATGATCAGGTTTTATTTGTTTATGTAAAAAGGAAAAAGCTGTTTGCTGTAACTGCTTATAAAGTATTAGCTGGAGTTTGGCTTCAATTTGTTAGTGTATTTAAATTTTAGGATTATGTACATTTAGGATTATTTCCTAAATGTACATAATATAACAGGATACTAATATTTATAGTTAAAGTTGATCCAGGGAATATCCGATTGCCTCTTGGGGGATCAGGAAGGAATTTCTTATTTTCAACCAGACTAACTATATTCCGCTATACTTTACATCTTTACATCATAGACTGGGAATACTGCTGTCCAAAGGTGCTCTTTCATCCACAGCATAGCCACACTAGTACAGGAGGTATGTTACTGGCTGGGGGTCACCAGGTGAGAACAGAGAGGAAAAAAAGCTAACAAAAAAAGAAAACAAATGCAAACAATATACAAGGTTATGTATACTGTGCGTTGTGGTCAACATAATTCAAAGGAATATTTCGAGCTTTGATTAAAAAGTGGTATTTTACTTAAAAAAAAATGGTACTTAAAAACAAAAACAAAAAAAAAAAAAACTTTGGAGTAGATTTACTAAAACCGGAGAGAGCAAAATCTGGCGCAGTTTTGCATAGAAACCAATCAACTTCCAGATTTTGTTGTCAAAGCTTAATTGAACAAGTTGAAGTTATTAGCTGATTGGCTACCATGCACAGCTGTACCAGATTTTGCACTCTCCAGTTATAGTAAATCAACCCCTTTGTATTTTAGATACAATGGGGAAAATTTGGGGTAGGGAAACTTCTACTTCCTGTCCATTAAATGCAGCTCCTTCTTGATTTTGAAAAGTGTCTCCTTTTGTGTTTCAGTCCGATGTACTCAGGCTGTAGTGCCATGTACTCATTTGTGATCTGTTATGTCTAAGGGTACTTTCCAAAATGTCCCTATATTTGAGACAGCACATGACACTTATGGTTTAGGTTTTCACAGTTCCTCAAACAGTTATACTTTGGTTGTTTGCGCTTTGCTATATTATTTTGCACATATTCCTGAGAACCATTTGTAATTAGGTCTCATTTCATTTGTCTTCAGCAAGTTGATAAATTGCAAGTCAATGGAAATTGGGAAGAGGGATCCCCTTACAAAATGTATTTGATATATACGATAAAAACAGCTTGCCTGATAGAGGCACCCAGATCCACAATAAACAGTTCATATTTTAGTGGCAAAGTCAGAACAGACTCACTTCAATATACCCTGGAGCACTTGAATCTACCATTCCATGCAAGTGATATCAGATTGGAAAGCAATGTGGGAAAGTCAGCAGAAATGAATGCACATGCTGATTAAATCTAAAAGGAGCCTTATCTCCAAGGAAACTACATGTAAATGGGCACCTTAAAGAGATACAGTGCCTGTGAAAAGCCAAACTCTTCCCATGGACCCACTGATATAATTCTAATGCTCTACTGCTATTCCATCCTTAGCCTCATCTGGCACTAAATACCTACTGGGTATCTGGGAACATATGATCTCCTCCCGTTGGTAGTCCATGTTTCTAGCAGGCAATGTATAGGCCTGAGCATTACCACATGATGGAGGAAATGCTGTCACTGCACCTTGTAGGCTGTAACATATTACATATTATATATTTTTTTTCCAGCTGTGACAGTGAAAGGGTCTCCAATGAGCTGAGCACTGGTGTATTTAGTTTTTGTGCTGCCCTAGGCAACACAAAAATCAGCTGCCCCCCTGAAAAATGCTGCCCTAGGCAAACGCCTTGTTTACCTTGCGGAAAATAGGCTCCTGGAGTTGAATATCAGTGGATCAGAGTCGGGGGGTTTTTCACACACACACAGTTATTTTGCCCTGAGTGGTAAAGTGACAATGACTTCTTACAGTAGATGTAAACCTTAAAGTATAACTAAAGGCAAAAATGTTTTTTTTTGGTTTTGAACAGAGTGCTGAGGGATTAAAACACTTGCCAGGTTTTATTGCTGTCTGTGTCCCTATTAGGGAAATTCACCCTCTATATTTGCCCTGTTTACCATTATCATTGAAAATGAAAGTAAAGAAAATTCCAAATTTTGGGTTGCCCCCAGAAAAATAATAAAGGAGAAATCTTCCAATGGGGGCACTAATTCTGGTGATCTGTGGGTTTCAAAGAATTCCCTTTAATTGCAGGGATTTCCTCTCACTTTCTGGCTATGGGACAGGAAGTGAAGGAAAATCTCCACAATGGGACACATGGAAATAAATCTGACAGGCGGTATAACCCTCCCTTGCTTTTTCCAAAATGAAAAAAGAGGTTTTGCCTATTGTTCTTTTTTAACTGGAATATGATTACATGAGATTTTAGTGACTAGGTTTACATCTACACCAATCATTCTATGGTAACTACTAAACATACACCTGTTATCTAAGGATAATGGGGCTGTTGACAGTGGTGGTATTGATGACAGCAGTGTCATTAATCTTCAATTACTTTTATAATATATTTCAAGCACCAGAACTAAAGCTAAGAAAAACTGTGTGCACCCTAATGCTTTGATTAACTTTATGTCCTCTTTAAACATTACTTCCATGTAATTATTCTGCATATTTATCCAGTGTCCCCTGACTTTCTCATTGTATTTTCAATGTAAATAGTGAAATTCAACAGCTAAGCAGATAAGAGCAAGGACAAACTCTATTTCTAAAGCAATCATGCAGAATAAGCCAGAGTGTATTAATTTAATTGTTACTTTTATAGTTGCTAACCTTTTGACTCTAATTTGTTTTTTTTCTTTCCTCCTCCACAATACGACAGGCAGGTATGTTTAGAATTACAAAAGATCAACTTTAGCTATCATATAATGAAAAATAAAATTGTTACCTTGTAGATAGACTAAAAATATTTGACTTGACAAAATATCTTGCTTTACTGATAATGATAGTAATTTTCCTGGGGCCCAAAAACCTGTAATAATATTGACTGGAATTTTAGAAATTGAATGTACAGTGTTAATGTGTGTGCAGACTCTGCTGGACAAGTGCCCATGCCAGGGGCATTGCAGTTCAAGAAGACACTAAAAGATTTTTATTGTGCATATTATTGTATAAGAAATATCTAATGGTATACACTTTTTCTTTTTTCCAGTGACTTTGCAATACAAGAAGACCGTTCCGCAGAAGGAGTTCAAGGCAACAGGCTCGATTTGACTGAGCAGAAAATAAATATGATGGTACTGGATATCTGCCACAAACCAGGTGGCAGCGAGTACCTGAGGCAAATTCATCACATCATCCAGCTCAATGAGGTAGGGAAACTGCCTTTTTGCCGAGCAATTAGGTGTGTATTGGGTTGAAGCAGAGTATGCTGGCAGCTAAGCGTTCGTCAAAGACACAGTAATACTTTTTAAAGTCAATCGCAGACCTATTGTTGCAGTAGAATTCTGCATATTTATATTGCAGTGAGGTTTGTCTATCAAAGGGTTATTGCATTAACTTTTTTTTGTATGGAAAATATATGATGGCACATATACTTCCTCTTTTATTCTTGCTGAAAGCTAAAGCTTGTTTGCATGTGCAGATAGATATAGGTATACAGTATATAAACACAAACACACTTAGCCGTGTACAAGCGTGTGCATGTGTCCAAGGTCGAAGAGGAAGTAAACACCGCACACATGATTTTCAGTTGAAGTAGTCAGTGCAAGTACAAGTGGACTGATGTTTTGTTAAAGCGGTAGTAAACTCTCCACATTAAAAAAAAAATCCTTCTGCAAGGCAATGTCATAATTAGCATGCATACTAGCACATTATGAAATACTTATCTTAGAACAAAGCCCTCCAGCAGCATGCTGCCACCGCTGTTAGGGCTTCCATCTTTGCCTGGACTTTCTTTTGGGTTGGCTGCAGCCACTTGACGGCGATGACGTCACTCCTGCAAATGCTCTGAAGGAATGACATGAGTATGTCGTTTCTTCAGAGCGCATGCGCCCATGACCTCAACAGCTGCAGAAATGAAGAATATCTCCTAAACATTGCCTGTTTAGGAGATATTCCTGGTACCTATAGGAAAACTTTATTAAAAGCTTACCTGTGGGTACAAGTGTACCTGCAGTGTTTACTACCGCTTTAACTACATTGGGATAGAATAATAGTATTACAAATGTCATAGTGCTGAAAGAAAATTTTAAATAAATACAGATAGCAAGTAAAACCTGTTAGTCCTTATATCTAAGAAGTATTGTACCTTTGCTACAACCAGAAAGTCCATGCAGATTACCTTTAAACTTAGTATAGTATGGTTTATTGCATCAGGATTTTGAAGCTTCTCATATTGCTTATAAACCTGAAGTCTATTGCCACATGTTTTTGTACTGAGTAATCTCTATCTTATGATCCATTGTGTTTGGCTAAGGATGCAGTGGGATCAGATGAAGAGTGGTGCAGGGAGCCATGGAATCGCATAAACATGCATTTGCGCATGCTCATATTATGGATTAGTCCAAGTATTAGGACCAACAATCCTCTTTATCTTTGACAATAGGGAAACATGAATCCTTGGAGGAAGACCATGTAAACTGTGTACCCTCAATGTAACATTTGCATGTGTGACTGCAGTATAACTTTACACTAACATTTAAAATAAAAAAATATAAGAAGATATAAAAAAAAAAGTTCCCATCCTTCAACCTCAGTCTCAGTACAACATGTTCCCATCTTTTAATCTCATTCTCAGTACTACATGTTAAGTATCTAGTAACATCTGCATGGAACTTGCTCAAGCAAGACCTTTTTAGAAAGATCTTAGTGATGCCTTCTTACTCTAAAACTGCAAATGTTTTCTTTTTCAAGGCTTCTCTTATATCTTTCTAAAAGAAAACACTTATATTCTCATGACATGCTATGTATTTTTATTAGAGAAACTGAACATATACCTCAAGAACAGTGAAGTCAACATTTTATTTTTACAGTATATCCAGACAGTGGGCACTGTACATGGGTTATGCTGAATTTGTTTTTTAATTTAATGTTAAAGTAATTATGAAGCAATTTGAAACCATGTTTTGCCTTGCATTTTCCCTACAATTTTTTTTAAATATAATTTTCTTTTTTCTACTGTCTTCTTTTGTGTTGATGCCACATATGCCTGAACAAGACTTAATTAGTCTTGAACAACATATCATAAATATGTATGTTGTCTTTATAAAAGTAAAGATTTATGTGGAGTGCTACTGCCAAAATGGACATTGTTCTATACTAATACCTCTGCTATGTGCTTTGTATGTTAGGTTTACCTGAATGAGGCATTGTCTTCCCAACATTCCAAACAGGCAGATGCACATTCAGAAGCATTTCATTTGACCTTGACCAGTGCAGAAGACCAGCTTTCATCTTTCAACCCTCTGCATACATTCACACTACCTGATGTAAGTGCTGAGAGTGAGGTAGGAAACTGAATAGCAATAAATATTCTTGTAATTAATAGAATAGACACATCTAGGGGCTGCTGAAAGACAGTGAATGTCTCAATAAATGGAATCAAATTCTGATGGTTTCAAGCATTTCATTCATATTAGATTATTCTATTTCTCTTTTCTGTATTGATGCGTTTACAGCTGTATGGGTATATAGAGTTTTGTTTTATGAATGCATAACTTATTTGATGCAATTTTCATATGTATACACTATATGTCATATATATATATATATATATATATATATATATATATATATATATATATATATATGTTTTTCAGATAAAGTGACTATATAAACACTAATTGTGAGGGTTGTGTCCCTGCTAAGACCAGATGACCACTGCTGTGATGTGCTTCAACTATAGCAGACATCTTTCGAAGGTGCTTTTTGTGCATGCACTGGTACTCAAGTGCCCCAGGACTATAGTGATGGATTATCTGTCTAACCTGTCTCTTTTGAGCAAGCAGATGAGCAAAATGACTTTCAGTGATAGCCCATCAGCTGAAATTTCTCGAGTCCCTTGGTGACACAGAGAGCCATAAAGCGTAATTGTGGCATAGAAGCTAAGACCTGCAACATCCTGGTTGAAAGCTAGCCTCACTCTGTGGTCTGGCAAAGGACATGATCTGCTAGGAAAGAGCATGTTACGTACCGCCCGGTGGTATCTCTAGTGAACCACAGAACGGGATTCCCCAGGGCGCGGAGTCTAAGCCCCAGTCTGCTTATTCACTAGAGCCCTTGATGGTGGGGATGGACTTGGAGCAGAACTGAGACCAGGTCGCGACCCCTGGGTATGCCCAACTGAGGTAGAGAGGGCCAGCTGGGGTATGTACAGGTGGAGAGCCTGATGTGAAGAGGCTAGCAGGCCCTGGACCGTGGCGACTGGATCCAAGCGGGATGGATGGATGGATGCCAGTGCAAAGTATAGCGGAGTCAGACAGGCCGGGTCGATAACAGCAAAGGCAGACAGTACAAGGCAGTAGGCAGAGAGTAACCGGGTCACGAGCAAAAGGTTCAGCAACAGGAGGTCAAATAATTCAGGAGCAGGCAAAAGAGTAGTCAGGGATGAGCCAGGGATCAGAGCAGGAGATGGTCAACGGATAAGGGTCAGCAACTAGTAATCACTCAAGAACTCAGGACACAGGAACAGCAGGAAAGACCTTACGGTAATATGTGATTTGCTAAAGCCTGTTTAAATAGTGCGCCCTGTGCACTCATTGGTGCCAGGCGCGCGTCCGTGGGCGCGAGTGCACATGCGCGGCCGCCATTGCCGCCGCGGTCGCCCAGGTCCTAGTGTCCGCACACTTGTGCGCCTAGACGGACCGCGCATGCGCAGACTCGTGTGCCGCGGTAACTCTCGGGGTTCCCGACATTGCCCCCCCCCCCCCCCCCTTACGGGCAGCCTCCGGATGTCCATCTGACCTCTCCTTTGGGGCTGGTTGCAAAGGAATTCCCGAATTAACCTAGGAGCATGAACATTTGGAGCAGGCTCCCACAAATTCTCCTCTGGCCCATAGCCTTTCCATTTGATGAGGTATTGCGTTTGACCACCCCTCCTTCTACAGTGAATAATCGTTTCTACCTCGAATTCCTCTTCCCCATCAATATCTATGGCCTCCGGGGGTCTAGATCTACGATCTGGGAAGGGATCCGGTACTGCAGGTTTCAGCAAAGACACATGAAAGACGGGGTGAATCTTAAAAGATTCGGGAAGCGCCAGCTTATAAGCCACCTCATTGATCCTACGTTCTACCTGGAATGGGCCCACGAATCTGGGTGCCAATTTTCTTGACGGGCATGCCATTTTCAGATTGGTTGTTGCCAACCAAACTTGGTCCCCTGGGTGCACTACCAGTTCCCCTCTTGGGCCCTTGCCATTGTCTCTGTAACAATTTGTTATTGGACGTAAAAAAAAACTTAGGGTCTCTTGAGCCGCTGGGACTGAGTTTTCTGGGACCAGATCAGGCAGGAAAGTGGGATGGAACCCATAGTTGGCAAAGAACAGGGACTGCTTAGTGGCCGAATGGCACGCGTTGTTATACGCAAATTCTGCTAGGGGTAGGAGTACCAACCAGTCATCCTGGAGGAACGAGGTGTAACACCTCAGGTATTGTTCCAGCGTTTGGTTAGTTCGCTCAGTCTGTCCGTTTGTTTGCGGATGATATGCTGAGGAGAATGACAGTTTGATTCCCAAACCTTCGCACAAGGCCTTCCAAAATTTGGAAGTGAACTGGACTCCCCGATCTGAAATGATGTTCTTTGGTACTCCATGGAGTCTCACTATTTCCTTAACGAATACTTGTGCTGTTTCAGGGGCAGACGGTGTACCTTCCAATGGGCGGAAATGAGCCATCTTAGAGAGACGGTCTACCACTACGAAAATCGCAGTATGATTCTGCGATGGCGGTAATTCTACAATAAACTCTATAGAGATCATGCTCCAGGGTCTATCGGGTACCGGAAAGGGTCGCAACAGACCCCAAGCCTTGTCCCTGCTGGGCTTGTTCCAGTTGCAGATGACACAGGTCTTAACGTACAACTCGCAGTCCTTGGCCATACTTGGCCACCAAAACATATGTCGTACTAACTCTACAGTTTTATGTGTTCCAAAATGAGCCGCCAATGGGTGGTCGTGGCAATAGCCCAAGATCAGGGTTTGAGCTTCCTTGGGTACCAGGATCTGCTCTCCCCTCCACAAGAGACCCTCTCTGCTCTGTATAGAGACTCCAGGTAGGTTGGGGGCCCTTGCGGATGCAGCCTCTAACCTAGACAAGAGTTCAGACTGTAAAAATAAGAAACTACCTGCCGGCAAGATGGTATCTGGCTTGGGCGTTTCTTCTGGGTCTTCGAACATCCGGGAAAGAGCGTCAGGCTTGGTATTTTTAGACCCAGGTCGGAATGTTATATGCAGGGTGAATTTTGATAAAAATAACGCACATCTGGCCTGATGCCGTCTGAGGCGTTTAGTTGTCCTCAGGTATTCCAAGTTTTTATGATCGGTGTAGACCAGAATGGGATGCGAGGCGCCCTCCAACAAGTACCTTCATTCCTCTAATGCCGTTTGATTGCCAATAACTCCCGATCCCCGATGTCATAATTACATTCAGACGGGGTAAGCTTCCTAGAAAAGAAAGCCACTGGGTGCATAAGTTCCTTTACCCCTACCCTTTGAGACAGTATTGCTCCCACTGCGTTTTCTGACGCATCAACCTCTAAGATGTAAGGCAGTGAAGCATCGGGGTGACTTAAGATAGGGGCTGTTGTGAACAGCTTCTTCAAGGACTCAAAAGCGCCTGTGCCACTGGGGTCCATTGAAAGTGTACCCCTGTCTTTGTAAGCTGGGTGATGGGAGCTACCAGGCCCAAGAAATTTTTGATAAATTTCCTGTAAAAATTGGCGAAGCCAATAAATCGCTGAACCCCTTTCTTATCCGTGGGGACCGGCCATTCTAAGATCGCAGAGATTTTCTGGGGATCCATTGCAATTCCAGTGGTGGAAATGATCAGCCCCAGGAATGGAATACTGTGCTGTTTGAAGCGCTACACTTCTTGGCTTTGGCATAAAGCCCGTGCTGGCGAAGGCGCTCTAGTATGCTCCGGACATGATCTTGATGCATCTCCAGAGAGGAGGAAAAAATCAGAATATCGTCTAAGTACACGATTACAAAGATATCCAAGAAAACGTGGCCGGTGCTTTACATAATCCTAATGGCATAACCAAGTATTGAAAGTGTCCGAACCGAGTGCAGAACGCGGTTTTCCACTCATCCCCTTCGCGTATGCGGACCAGATTGTAAGCCCCCCTAAGGTCTAGCTTGGTAAAGACAGATGCCGACTTTAACCTCTGAAACAATTCAGGAACTAAGGGAAGGGGATAGCGGTTCTTAACCGTAATTTTATTCAGATCCCTATAATCAACACAGGGCTTCAGGGACTGGTCCTTTTTCTCTACAAAAAAGATTCCGGCCCCAGCTGGAGATGTGGAAGGACGAATGAACCCCTTCTGAAGGCTTTCATCAATATACTCCTTCAAAGCCCCCAACTCCTGCTCTGACAGGGGAAAGATTCAACCAAACGGAATCTCAGATCCCGGAAGAAGGTCAATAGGACAGTCGTAAGCCTGGTGCGGAGGGAGCATATCCTGGACTGAAAACGTCAAGGTAATGATGATAAACACTGGGAACAGTTTGAGCTAGCTCAGTGTCAACATTCACACATAACAGAGTCGGGGTGTCTAGTGGTGACCTTAAAAAACAATGCTCCTGACAATAGGGTGACTTGAACTGGACAGACCCGGTTCTCCAGTCAATTTGGGGATCGTGAGCTCGTAGCAAGGAGAGCCCCAAAATGACTGGAAATAAAGGAGATGCAATGGCGCCTAAGCGGAGAAGCTCTTGGTGATAACCGGCCACTGTGGTGCATATGGGGGGGGTCTCCTGATCTACCAACCCGGACTTAATTCGAGACCCGTCAGCCAGGAAGATGTTCAGGCCCCACTCTTTCGACAGTAACGGAATCTGCTGTTGGGCTGCAAAGCTAAGGTCTATAAAGCAGCTACAGGCCCCTGAGTCAATAATGTCCGTCACTTGTACGGTTCTTCCGGGGAGCTGAAATGAGATTGGTACAGCTAAATGAGTTGAATTATCTAGGCCAGCAGGAGACATAGCAGAGACAAAAGAAGAGTACTTACAAGATTTCTCCGGACAGGAGCGCACCATATGACCCGCTGCTCCGCAGAAGAGGCACAGATTGTTTATCCGGCATCTCTGGCATTCCTCTGCCGTGAGAGAAGGCCGCATCAGTCCGAGCTGCATGGGTTCAGTCCCGTCGGACGGCGCTGGATTTCTATTTGCGGGAATTGGCAGGACCGGCACCCGTGGCAGCATCCATGTTGGTCTTGGCCCTGGATTAGACCTTTCTTTCCTCCGCTTCCGCAACCTACGGTCAATCTGGATGGCCAGGAGGATCAAATCCTCCAAGGAATCAGGTACTCCCACTCTTGCCAACTCGTCTTTAAGTGGATCAGATAACCCCAGGCGGAACTGATGGCGCAGAGCCGCGTCGTTCCATTGAGTGTCTCCGCTCCAATGCCTAAATTCGGAGGTGTAATCCTCTGATGCCCGGCGACCCTGCTGTAAGGTATGTAGAGCCGCCTCAGCAGAAGCAACTCATTGCGGGTCATCGTATAACTGCGCCATCGCTTTAAAGAATTCAGCAACTGAGTCCAGGTGTGGATGGCGAGCTTCCATCAGATGGTGTGCCCAGCCCTGGGGTTCACCCTGCAGCAGGGATATAATAAACCTTGCCTTCACGGATTCTGAAAAGAACGTCCGCGGTTGCAGGTCAAAATATAGCCGACAGGAGTTCTGGAAGGCCCTGAACTTCCCTCGATCCCCATTGAAACGCTCCGGGGTGGGTACGTGAGGTTCCGGTGGGGGTATGGTGAGCGTTGCTCCGGCGGAGTTTCAGTAGATCCCTGGGCTGGGGTTGAGGTTCCCGAGCCTGCCGGCGGAGTTGCTGGCAGGGAGAGGGCCTGAATGCGTCCCTCCAGATGCGTAAACCCCTCTTGAAGAGTCTTGACAGCTTGGGTGAGCGCTGCCAGGTGCTGGCATATGTCATCCAGCGGAGAGGATCCTTTTCAGGCTCAGTCATGGCCGTATGGTTCTGTTACGTACTGCCCGGTGGTATCTCTAGTGAACCACAGAACGGGACTCCCCAGGACACGGAGTATAAGCCCCAGTCTGCTTATTCACCAGAGCCCCTGATGGTGGGGATGGACTTGGAGCAGAACTGAGACCAGGTTGCGACCCCTGGGTACGCCGAACTGAGGTAGAGAGGGCCACCGTGGGTATGTACAGGTGGAGAGCCTGATGTGAAGAGGCTAGCAGGCCCTGGACCTTGGCGACTGGATCCAAGCGGGATGAATGGATGCCAGTGCAGAGTATAGCGGAGTCAGACAGGCCGGGTCGATAACAGCAAAGGCAGACAGTACAAGGCAGTAGGCAGAGAGTAACCGGGTCACGAGCAAAAGGTTCAGCAACAGGAGGTCAAATAATTCAGGAGCAGGCAAAAGAGTAGTCAGGGACGAGCCAGGGATCAGAGCAGGAGATGGTCAACGGATCAGAGTTAGGCAGGGTCGGCAACTAGTAATCACTCAAGAACTCAGGAACAGCAGGAAAGACCATACGGCAATTTGTGAATTGCCAAAGCCTGTTTAAATAGTGCGCCCTGTGCACTCATTGGTGCCAGGCGTGCATCCGTGGGCGCGAGTGCGCATGCACAGCCACCGTTGCCGCCGCGGTCGCCCAGGTCCTAGTGTCCGCACGCTAGTGCGCCTAGACGGACCGCGCATGCGCAGACCCGCGCGCCGCGGTAACTCTCGGGGTTCCTGACAGAGCATTCCTATTCACTGTACTAGTATGTTATGCTCACCTGGTATTACTATTTACAGTTATTCACTCAATGTTACTTCAGAGTTCCACTGTGAAGAGTTTATGACTCTCTGCAGTGGCAGGTAATATAGTCACATTGCTAAATAGGGTCCAAAAGTTGTGGTAAACTGGTACTTTCACTGGGATTCAGATACAAATCACAAATCTTTATCAAGGGACTGGGATCTGTGAAAACTGTGATAAATAACAATTCAAGAAAGCTTACAGTGTTATATTTCTGCATTATCCACCTAAAAATTAGTATATGCACCAAATATGAACTGACATAGTCACTGAATGGAACAGGGTAGGCTTTTTGTGTTTAAAAAGAAGCAGAGAGAACAACGTTCTCTAAGTGTCCCTAATCTTTGGCCTGTCCCAGTCTATAAAGTAGACCCTAACACTGAACCACTAAAATGATACTTTAACACTTAATCACACACTGTAATATTTAATCCCTAAAACAGAGCTCCAGGCTCCCCCCAAAAAATTAAACGTCAGCAGCTACAAATACTGTAGTGGCTGACTTTTAATATGTAGACACTTACCTGTCCTGGGATCCAACAACATCCTCACCTGATCCGATCCTTCAATCAGCTTCAGGTGCGGACACAGGCATCTTAAGTGAGGGAAACCAGCAATGAATCACGTTGCACTTTGTGAATGGTCCCGCATTCTTCTGGGACTTGTGAAGTGTCCCAGAAGGCTGCGAGGGAAGGAAGGGGGCCGAAATTCCGACTCTGATCACTGTGGTGCATCTGAATGGAAATGGGAGCCGGTACCTGCCAAAACCTTTTGAGTGAAGTTCCACTTTAAAGTGGAACTTATCTTATCTCCCTGATTTTCTCTGCTTTGTTCCTTATTGGGAAGAACTTCAGCAGTGTAAAGCTTCTGTCAGACTTCCTCTCTTGTTAATCCAAAACATACAATCAAGGCTGGAAATGTACATATTTTAAAATTTGACACAGAAAGTGACATATAGTTTTTCAGAGGGGGAGCGTTTCCGATTGGGAAGTGACTGCTCTGGGCTTCAACAAAATGTGAGCCTTCAACAAGTAGAAACAGGAGCAATGCTGAAAGCAATTTACAGTACAGCACACTAAGTTTGGTAGCACAATTATTATTGTGGAATGTATGTTCTTTTGGTAATGAACAATCATTGTTATCAAACTGCTATAGGTAAAGTTCCACTTTAAAGTGGAACTCCATTTAACAATGAAAACCCATACTTTATTTCTTATATTTCTTTGTATAATATATAAAACCTTATAATATGCCTTACTGAGATTGTTAAATGTCTGATTAGAAACTACAGTTTAATCTAGACAGTCCACAATTCTCTTCTGCTTCACTAACAACGGTTTGGCTGTGCAGTTAAATATAGCTGCTCACGTGCACCTCCTGGTACCTGTGTCAGACCTGTGCAAGCAGATCAGCACAGCCCCACCTATGTCCCATCCAGTGCCATCTGTGATGTCATATGTTTTCTCATGAATGAGGATGCTCAAGCGTCCTCATTCATGAGAGTGCTCAGACAGGAAGAAAAGACGGAATGAGACACGCCCATGCATTAGCTGTATGAACAGAGAGGCATTGTAGTTACATGACTACAATGCATTATAATGAAAAAAAAGTACAAACAGATTTAAAACATTTTACACATAATAATGGATTGTTACACATAACGGTTGTTCAACTGATTTTGGGAATTTAATGGAACACAGGCCTTTTCCTCCACTTTAAACCCTTAATCTCTATCCTAACCCTTAAAGTATATGTACATACCAACAATGAATGTCTGTTTTTGTCTAATAGATGCACCACTGAAAGGGTTTTGTATAATAAGTGCAAAGAATACCTGATAGCAATCTAGTGAGTTTGTGACAACCTGTGTCTCTGCTGCACTAAAATCTCAATGAGTGTGTCAGCCCTGCTTATGGACAAGATGAGAAGGAAAGTATTCTGTAGTCCAAACACACTTCCCACCCTATAGTGACAATACTGCTCTTTAGTATATACAGTACAGTGTAAAAAAAAAATGTAACTACAGCAGTTATGGACTAGAAAGCAGCAATATAGTATGTTTTGTTTATAGGTTTAAATACACTTTAACACAATCCTAACACTTGACTTTAGCCACATAAACCCTGGTCCTAACACTCACGTAAACTTGAGCCCATTGCTTAACAGTTAATTAAGTTGTGTACCAAACTCTTACAATATCAAATTATTCAGGAAGGTGACATAAACGGGTGTTTTCAGTATAATTTACATTGCAGTTTAGGTGGTGGGGCCCTCCCTTCTAGGCCATCAGTGTGTGTGTACATTGCACATACATGCAAACTCAGACATGTTTATGTAATGCATATGCATATATTTGTATCTCAAATATTTCAATCATAACCATTGTGCAAATGAGTCTATGTTTATTGTGCAATCGGTCATACATAACAAGAGTTTGTGATTCTCATGCTCTCAGATCAGTATGTGTGCCATCTGTTTATTTAAATTCTCTGTACCAATTTTAGATTAGAACCATAAAATGGCTTCTAATTAAGATACATCATGCAATATAAATCCTAGCTCCCCCTCTGTTTATTTCCTGGTAAACTTCTTGCTGACAGTAGGAAATTGTAAATTGTTACTGCACATTCAATGCATCCATTTATTTCTTCTTTCAAACAAAGGCTGAAGCTCCCAGACAAAGTGCTTGGGCAAATTGCCACTAACAGTTGGAATGTGGTAGAAAAATTGATTTATATTTTAATAAATAATGACTACATCACTTAGTGGATTTGTAAATTAATTGTTGTCTTATTGGGATAAAAACCTGCCTGTCTGCATTTGATTTATACTAACAGGCTAAGTCTGTCTTACCCTTTTCGTTCGTCTATCACAGATAAATTAATAGATGTGATTAATAAGTAACAAAACCTTCTTTATTTTTATCAACAGTCTACCACAATGAGAGAAGGATGCAATTGGTCAGCATTGTTACCACACTGTTTACAAGTGAATCCTGTGACCTTGGGAGGGCTGCTACTGCACAGGTACGCTGTTATGCCATAGTCAAGCTAATTAGTGATATAAGCCAGTTGTGCTCTCAGAATACATACTGTACAAACACAGAATGAATTCTATACCTTCATTATCCTGTGTGTTTAGAGCCACTGTCTTATTAAAGCAAATGTATTTTGTTTGGGACTGAAAGTAGAAATATTTTGTACATTCAGTTCTTGCAAGAAGGTGGATCCCTAAGCCTATCTTTTACATATTTACCTGTTTACTCTTAGCTGCTGTTTTGAAAAAATAAAAAAGTCTGCTATTTATAGAGTTCAAGTCAAACTCAGGTTCACTACTGAATAAATCTGAGGAGCAAATCATTCTCATTCCTTGCCTGAATCATCTTTTCACCCTGGTTTAAATGTTTATTTGTACTGTATGTATACTGTAAAAAAATCTAATTTAGAGAATGTATAAACTAATATTAAATTAATATCAATCTCAAACCATTATAGCTCCCTCCTAAATATATGACCCTGCAGCATGAAAAATGTACTCCTTTAAAGTGGAACTATACTTATTTTCGCTTCATCCATGCAACGTTCAGGAGCACTGCACTGGTCGCTGACATCTAGGTATCGATTGACGGCCACTCTCATTGACTATATGGGGATGATGTCACTCCCACGCATGTGCAGGAGTTTTGTCGGCTTCTGCATTGCCAAATTTATTCAGTAAGCCACACTTGCACAGCTTACTGTACAGGGGCAGACAGGCAGGTATAGGTCATTTTAGTGCAAAGAGACAGACCATGTCTCTTCTGCATTAAAAATCCTGCCTGTTTGCCAATTTTTTTTTTTCACATAAAGTTCCAATTTAATGTTGAGCAATCATTAAAATACACCCTATATGAAACAGTAAGGCACATATAATGACTACCAAATTGTGTTATATTTTTGCGTGCACAAAAATTCTTTCTTGTCAGATCAGTCTTTCTCACACTTTTCACCCTTGAGATTTTCAGGTTATAATTTTCAGGTTTTCATGAAACTACTTCATTAAAATGATTCTAGCCAAAGCTCATAGTGCCCTAGCATAATACTGTATATAATAATGAATTATGTATATTAATACATAAAATAATGTATTACGTATTCATACAATACTAGGGCATTAAAAGTACACCTACAATAAGAATGCTTGTTTTTTGCTGGGCAAGCACAAACATTCTAGGTAGAACACTTTTTGTGCAGTTCATTCTGCTGTCATTGAGGTTCACTACCTTACCAATAGCATACATTTTCCATCCCAAACATCTGTAGTATTCCAGATTTATAGATCTTTGGGATCTTGCTTCTTGTACTCCTTTTTTTTCAACCACCAGTTGACCACCCAAGGACTGTAAGGATCAGCAAGAATATCACCAATAATCACAATGTCATAATTAATGCTACAGCCTGTATCAGCTTGTATGTAATGTTTCAATCATCAGCTTTTGTCAAGTTAGTCCAAACCAATTGCAGTTTTAGCACCTACTTTCATACTTCATATCCTTCACTTGATCAAAAGGTAGATCAAAGCTGTGTGCACTTAGTAGTTAAACTACTAAAAGCATAAAAAAATTGTAATTTACCATATACTGTAAATGTTCAGTGTTGTCTAGTATTAAGATCATTGCCAAGCTATCTTAATATCTACAGGGAGTCTCATCTTACTGCCAACTGTTTTGTGGTTGTAATCTGCAAACCTAGTATGTCATCAGTTTAAGTTGCTGCTGGCAAGAACGCTTATGAATCTGATCTTTCCACGGTCGAGATAAGTCATGCTATCAGATCAAGCTGCACTTTAGAACTGCTGGGCCTTGTCCTCTTTGCTTATAAAAAGAATGCATTTGCACATTTGTTTGCATGAGTATTAATGACAGCACTAAATCAAATTTTTTCAGTTTAATGCAGCCATATCAATAATATAAAAGTTAAATTCGGATTATATTGAGTTTAAAAACATTTTACACTTACCTATAGGCACACAAAATTCATCAAATGTGGCTTGATGGTTAGAAATGCAAATTCCTATAGGATTTTATCACCCTCTTTAGAGGAACCCTTTCTCTTCTTCTCAGAACATGTTAATGTCGCTGGTGTATAAAAGCCATTCAGCTACCCACTTCCCAAAAAAGTGGAGAGCTGCTTGAATGGAGAGACAGATTCTACTGCAGCTATATCATGCCATATAGAACAGGAGTCAATAGCTTGGCAAAGAATGGCTTTTATAGGTTGGAAACAAATAAAGGAGGTTACATGGGACATACTTCATCAAGTCATTTTAAGGCTGTATATAGAAAACAAGCCCATTGTATAGAATTATATTTAAAACTTGTTTATTCAACTTTATTTAAATATTAAAATATACATGTTGCAACATAGGTTTTTTTTGTTTGAAACCAAAATGGAACGAGCTGGAATTCCATTTAAAGAGTTGTGTTGTCAAATTGACACTTGGCCATTTGTGTGTCAACCCACTGTATCTGTTTCTTTATATCTGTAAAGTTGAGCTGCATGTAGGCATCTAAATATAAGTTGAAATACATGTATTTTGGTTTTCAAAAAATTGTAATTCCGTTCAGCCAGTTGTTCGATTCAGACACTCTTGTCAAGCAGCATAGCTAGGTTTTGGATTTCCAGTACAGGTTATGGTTCAAGACACATCCCTGGTATGCTAATTGGAAAATGAAGGAGATTTCATTTATTTTATCCTTTTCCAGCTTTTGCAACATACTAAATATTAAATTTAACACCATAAAATCATTTAGGTAATTTGTTTTTGCTTCATGCTAATATGATGTTTATATAGAGTTTTTAGTTGTGCACTGTGGCTTAGAGTGTAGTTTGCTTAAGCTGTATAAGGGAATTCAGGTACTGCATCAATTAAACCTCCGGTACACAAAGTTGCTGTTGTAGAAGTAACTACACTATAATGTAGATTTTATATACGGTATGTTATCATATATTATTATTTGTGCTGTAAGAGATGCACACTCGCACACGATATATATTTAATTTTTTATTTAAATTGTTTTTAAATACCAACTATAAAAATTGTATAGCGTTAACAAAGTAAGTGGAAGTTCCAACTTCTTCCTGCATTACAAGAAACTTTACTTATGCTGTATATTTTACCATAATAGTAAAAGTATACTGTGAGTTAAACTTAAAATATAATACAATAAAATGGGATGTAGGTATAAAAAAGTCATTCTGATGAGAGGTTTTGTAACATAATAATAAAACTACAGAGCCAGTGAATTTTAACTTCAGGTACCATTTTTTACTATTGTGCTCTAAGTGACATGGCTATAAAGATGAGAGTCAGAAAAGACAAGAACATGTATCTAGGACAAGAGAGAGAGATAGTTCTGTCCTCCAACAAAGAATGATTGTATTGAAAAGGCACCAGAATAATAGGCAGGGATGCTCGGTCTCTAAAGCACGGTGTTCAGGCTGTCAATCCAGTACATGACACAATGCTCTGCAAAGCTGGGGGTGATTTTTTTTTATGATAGTCTTAAGATTGACGGGTTATGACAAAGCTGAATTCATGGTGCTCTAATAAGTCTTTTGTCTACTTTTGCATACATTGTGACTTGTCTGGGAAATGACACATTGAGCCTATGCCCTGTCTGTAAATCCAGTGGGGTTAAAGGGCTTTGGGTGTATTGTCTGCTATTGCAGTGCTGGCTCAGTAAAGCAACTGCAATATTTTTTTATGCAGTGTGTGTTCAAGAGACTGCACTATCTGCACAGAAACCTAGTGGAGCTGAGAGAAAAGGCTAGACACAATTTGGGAAGACTCATTAATCAGTGACAGTCACAGGTGTAGTGATTTCTTTACAATCTGCCAGCAGACTGTGAAAGTCAAATCCAAAGCTTGATGTCCGACTAAGCAGCATGGCATTTTTTTAAGTGTGCCGCTACACAGGTCTTAGACTCCTGTCTATAACTGCAGGCAGGTAAAACCATTCCACTGAAAATTCTGATTGAAAGTTGTTGGCCCTTGTTTTCTTTCTGTAATTGCTGTGTATATAAGAGTAAAACAAGAGAAAACATTTGCATTACTTCACAAAAAAAGGATAAAGTTGTAAAAGATACTTCAACCCCTCTGAAAAATCTTATGATGCATGGCAGAAAGTGAGAGATTTATCTTTGTCCCTTTTGAAGTAATGCACATCAAAAAGAAAGATGTTTAAACATTTCTTTTCCATAAGGGAATTTTAGACAATATGTATATGTGACGAAGGTATAGGTGGAACAGAACACACGCAGAGAGCAGTGGGGCACACAAGGCTTTATTGAGTGATTGGAGGGCGCATGATAAGTATAGCAAGGGTTAAGTCCAGGGGGCACACAGCAGAAGGGCAGACTCTGGCCGGTAAGGGTTAAGCCCAGGGGAACACTGCAGAAGGACAGACTCTGGCTGGCAAGGGTTACGTCCAGGGGCACACAGCAGAAGGGCAGACTCTGGCCAGCAAGGGTTAAGTCCAGGGGAACACAGCAGAAAGGCAGCTCTGGCAGGCAAGGGTTAAGTCCAGGGGCACACAGCAGAATGCAGACTCTGACAGGCAAGGGTTACTTCCAGGGGCACACAGCAGAAGGGCATCTCTGGCCGGCAAGGGTTAAGTCCAGGGGCACACAGCAGAAGGGCAGACTCTGGCTGGCAAGGGTTAAGTCCAGGGGCACACAGCAGAAGGCAGCTCTAGCAGGCAAGGGTTAAGTCCAGGGACGCACAACAGAAAGGCAGCTCTGGCAGGCAAGGGTTAAGTCCAGGGGCACACAGCAGAAGGGCAGCTCTGGACGGCAAGGGTTAAGTCCAGGGGCACACAGCAGAAGGGCAGACTTTGGCAGGCAAGGGTTAAGTCCAGGGGCACACAGCAGAAGGGCAGACTCTGGCAGGCAAGGGTTAAGTCCAGGGGCACACAGCAGAAGAGCAGACTTTGACAGGCAAGGGCTAAGTCAGCTCCCTGGTGCCCAGCACACCACTTTATGTGGGCT